TGTACTTTCCGTCGGCGTGGTTCCATGTGCATCGGCAGGAACAACATTGTCTTCTTTGACAACCTATTTATTCAAGGCTTTGGAAGCGAAGTCGTCAGCTTGGTCTAGCGCTATTATCATGTTTGTCTGTCTAGGTCGGAGCGACTCCCTTGCCGATATGCTTGGCGCGATTGCCAATCTCCATCTTACACAGTGATCTACTATTGCGGTGATTCAACGAGGTTTGTTTCTCTATATAGGTCTTTACAGGTACTTCAATGGTTGAATTTCTCGATGTTCATTTTTCTTAACACGATGTTGTTCATTATATGTGTGAGCTATGGTGGTGCAACGGCTATAAGTTCATGTTCAGTTGTGGCTTTGACAAAAAATTAGAGGCATTAGTTATATAATCATAGTCTCCCCTTTGTTTTGGGGTCGTTTTCGTGTGTGGGTTCAATTACCTTACATCTGATTGTATGTGTCACCTTGTATCACATATAATTCTCTCACGCAATAAAGAAATTATTTTTTATAAATTAAAGGGCAATGCATGGCTGGCCGAAAGTGAATTCGACAAGCAATTTTTTTTAACACAGTACAGACGCAAGCGCTCATATACACACGCATATACTCACCCATACGAACGCGCACAGACGCACACCCTACCTCTATGAGCATCTCCGAAAGACTGAGCCGGCATATCATCTTGAAATTTATTTAAACCCTGATGGACTCGGGATACCACAGTCCGTCTAACTATCTAACCACAAGTTGGTTCATAATTTGACAAGCAACTTGGGGGTCAGGGCGGAGCCAGAAAATTTGGCCATTGGGTTCACTTCATGACTTGTTGTGAGAACTCGGTACTAATATGTGAAGTGTATTGTCTGATTTTAAATTATCTTACAACAATTTGGCCATTGGGTCAACTAGGAATTTTTACTGGGTTCACATGAAGCAAGTATGCATCTACTAGCACGTAGCTGGCAAAATCCATTGGGTTCACTTGAACCCAATGCTTGCACGGTGGCTCCGCCACTGTTGGGGGTGGCTATCTATCCAAAAAAATGTAAGAGGCCGCACCTGGCCTATGACCTCGCGATGAATAAAGCAGCAGATGAGGCCCGTCGATGGCACCAACGTCGGACCACACGATAGCGTTCGAACCGTTTTATCTTCTCGTCCGGCTCACCACCCCTTGCCCAGATCGGACACGCTTCTTATCGAGAGGAATACGTATCAGCTTTCACATGGGCCGGCGGTCTGGTACTTCTTCCTCTCCTCTCATTTTTCTTTCTGGGAATTGATTCTTGTTTGGAGATAGATTTGCATCATTGCAGTCAGGTATTTCAGCGAGCAGGTAACTTGGATTCTTTCGTTTTCCATGATGGATATGGGAATTTCTCTCTTTCTCTGAACAGTGAAAGAGCATCACAGATATTTCTCTTGCACATGCTTCGGATTCTTTATGATCAACTCCTCCAACAAACCATTTCATACCCAAAAATTATATCACTATGGGCATCTCCAAGACAGACCCGCAAACCTCCCGCAACCATCCAGACCGTGGAAGCCATTCAACTCGGGTCTGTATCGATTCCCGGGACGATCCGGATGCGAACCGGAGACAATCGTGGGGGGGCTTTGCGGGAGTCCGGACCGATCCTACGCCCTCTTCTGACCGCCTTGACCCACCAATACCCCTCCTCCCTCGGCAACGCACGTTCCCGTCCGGCGCCAGCTGCCCGCATTCATGCCGCTATAGAGCGCGCCGCTCAGTATTGAAGACGTCTCAGGGCGGACGCGACCTCTCACTGCCTTCGCCATTGAAGTGTCGTGTCGGCCGAGGGCGCCGCCGCGACGCATCTCCGGTGTCCGTGCCTATTTCACTAGTAGAAAAAGGGTCAAATGTGAAGCACAATAGCGCCGGTTTGAATTTCAGCCGGCACTAATGTGTACATTAGTGCCGGTTCGTGGCGGCGATCAATAGCACCGATTCGTGGCGAACCTTTAGTACCAGTTCATGCCACGAACCGGTACTAAAGAGGCTGTGTCAGCCTGCGGTCAGGCTATGGCCCCACCATCACCATTTAGTGCCGGTTCGTACCATGAACCGGTACTAATGAGGTTATGGCAAGCTGTTTTTAGTCCCACCTCGCTCCCCTAACAAGCCTTTTACCACCTTAAATATGTTATTTCTCAAACTATCACAAGCACTTGGTCTTCATTGAACTCTATGTGTAGAATTTGTGGCCGCAATATGAGTCTTCATCGGTTTATAAATCGTTGATGACTCATATTGACAATTCAGATTGTACACACAAAGATCATTGATGATCAAAGTATTTTTGATGTTATAAGATCATATTGACAATTTAGACTGTAAAGAAATATAAGATCATGATCTAAATGCTCTTATATTTTTTGCGTTCAGTATGCACCAACTGCTAGGCGGGAGGAGCTGTTTAGTACCGGTTCGTGGCGAACCTTTAGCACCGGTTCGTGCCACGAACTGGTACTAATGAGGTTGTGTCAGGTAAGGCTGGGGCCCCAGGAGCACCTTTAGTACCGGTTCATGGATGAACCGGTACTACAGTTTCTTAGTAAGCTGTTTTTTAGTCCCACCTCGCGAAGAGAGAGGGACTAGGAGCGGTTTATAAGCCCTGACTGTACGATGAAGAAGAGGCTCAATGCTCACGTTGCTTAGCTTCAAGCCTTCAGGAATATGGTAGACTACACGGAGCTATGCGCAGTGCAATTTACACTATTCCGAAAGGCTTGAAGCAAATTAACGAGCATTGCACCTCTTTTTTATTTTTAATAACTTATTACAACTCCGGACAAACTAATTGCACGTCGGCATTTCTTTTTTTTAAACTTTGGTTATAACTCCAGACTTTGACCATCAAGTTTTGCAGAAAAGAAAAAATAGCAGAAAAAAAATTATAGTTGAAAAGAAAAAAAACTATATAAAATGACCGTGAAATTGAAAATCACTACAAAATGAACTCTGAAAATGTTGAATTTTGGCAAACTAGATGAAAAACTACTCAGAAATAAATAGAAGAAAATAAATATAACAGAAAAGAAAAAACTATACAAAAAACTACGCAGAAATAAATAGAAGAAAATAAAGCAGAAAAGAAAAAAACTATAAAAATAACTTATAACAACTCCGGACAAACTAATTGCACGTCGGTATTTCTTTTTTTTAAACTTTGGTTATAACTCCAGACTTTGACCATCAAGTTTTGCAGAAAAGAAAAAAATAGCAGAAAAAAAAACTATAGCTGAAAAGAAAAAAACTATATAAAATGACCGTGAAATTGAAAATCACTACAAAATGAACTCTGAAAATG